AGGGGGTCTTCGATGAATTCAAAATTCATATATATGTTTATATCAGTATGGGTATAAACAGGTGAATGAATCCGACAATGAATCCTATCGGATCTCATGAGATCCGACAAATTCCGACACTGGAACCTATTGGATTCCAACACTAGAGTTTCGATTGTCGGTTCTACACCCGGATATCGATAGGATTTTGTCGTTTTAATGAAATCTATACTGCATCCGATAAGATTCCGATAGGATCCTACTATCGGAATCATTCTCCTGGAAATGGGGTAAAAAGCTGAGACAACGAAAAAAAATTAACAAAAACAAAAACTATAATACTTACCTGTGATATTGAACAATTATCAGTACGAATACAAGCTAAAATAGTTAAAAAATAAAATATTCATGTAATATAATAATGTAAGAAGAGAAAGAAAGAGGGGAATGGTTTCTAACGTTAAAAATCATTACTATTTATAGTTATTTTTGTTATTCGTGATAATTAGACAATTGGTAAGCAATCGAGATCAAATGAATTTTATTTCTATTTGTAAAATTTAACATTCCGCTCGCTACATATAGTGGTCTTTGATGGTTTTGATTGATTGCTATGCAATCGATCGTAAAGATCACAAGCATTCCTAAGAATGACAAAAAACAAATCTTGTAATATTGACTATACCGCTAATTGATCTTTTATGTTCTGCTTCTTCTTCGCCTTCACCAAATGAAAGAAGATAAACACTAATTCAATAACATCAAATGGTTATCGAAATCCATCACAATGGCAATTTTCAATTGTTACATCATTATATTATGGAACAATGAATGCATGTAATATTAACAATGAAAAGTATGATTTCAGCATCAAATCATTGTCAAGAAATGGTAATTTTTTTTAGAAGAATGCCTCGAAACAACTATAATTTACAACTATATATTATTCAAATTCGTCGTGTTACATCGTATATGCACCAACAACAATTATTGACGATCTTTTATATTTATTTTTCTAGATTATATATTTTACATGCATACAAAAATTGCTCAACGTTTATGACTTATTTTTCAATTAAATCTTGATATGAACATTCAGTTTCTATATTTAAAAACAACACTAAAGAACAAGTAATGAAAAAGTTGAAATTTATTTGTATTTTTAATAGTTTTCAAAATTAAATCTTCTCGCATGAAATAATCAACCTTTTTTCGTCAAATATAAAAGTATAGCTATTTGATTATTTATATTGTCACGATGAGGAAGTATTACTCTAAATACGTTTACCTTCTCCAACGCTACATACGAAAGGGAATTTAGAGGTGCCAGAGAAAAAAAAACAAGAATCAATTATTCAGTCAGTTTCACTGTTATTCACTTCTGATTCGCTTGTAAATACTTCTTTTTTTATTCCTGTTCAAGAGAACAATAAAATTAATATTATGAAATCTTAAATGTTTAGGTAAAAGCTTTTATTCGATTGATGAAAAACGAAATTGAAACGAATACAAATAGAAAACAGAAATATTGTAAATGGATCGTACATATATCATTCGAATTTGATTATTAGATGTAAGTTGATCAAAGGATATGGTCAAACGTACAGAAAGATGAATTCATAGTGTCATCAAACCATTTTCTATTCAAAAAAATATTTAGTTTTCTTTTACAAATAATGTCCGATCGAGGTTTCACGAGAAGATTTATTTAACGATTATGAGTAATATCTTTTATTGAATTACAATGTGAATACATTTGATGAATTGTTACTTTACGAGTTGTTGCTCAGTCGTTTAGTCGAGTCCGACTCTTCGTGACCTGATAGACGTTATTACGCCAGGCTTGTCTGTCAGTGACCATTTCCTTCAGTTCTTGTTAAGTTGTTTCCATGACATCAGTTATGGTGTCAAGCCACCTTATCTTTTGTCGACCTCTTTTTCGGTTGCCTTCGATTTTTCCAATCATCAGGGTCTTTTCTAGTGAGTCTTGTTTTCGTATTATGTGACCGAAATATTTTAGCTTTAGCTTCATTATTGATGCCTCCAGTGAGAAGTCCGACTTCACTTCATTTAGTATTGACCGATTTGTTCTTCTTGCGGTCCATGGTGTTCCAAGTAGTTTCCTCCAACACCACAATTCAAATGCGTCAATTTTTCTTCTATCCGCTTTTTTGATAGTCCAACTTTCGCTACCATACGTTACGACTGTAAAAACCATTGCATTGACAATCCGTACTTTAGTTGATAATGTAATGTCTCTACACTTTAGTATTTTTTCCAGATTCATCATGGCTTTCCTTCCAAAAAGTAAACGACTTTTTATTTCATGACTGCAATCACCATCTCTGTGGATTTTTGACCCTAGGAATATGAAGTCCGGTACTACTTCAATTTCTTCTCCATCAATCTGTATCCTATTAACCGTACCAGTTGACATGATTTTTGTCTTTTTGATATTAAGCAACAAGCCAGCTTTTGCACTTTCTTCTTTCACCTTCATCAGGAGAGTCTTTAAATCATCTTCATTTTCTGCCATTAAAGTGGTATCATCAGCATATCTGAGGTTATTAATGTCCGCATTTCGCATGATATATTCTGCGTATAGATTAAATAGGCAATGTGAGAGATATGCAGCCTTGGCGTACCCCTTTCTCGTTTTTGAACCATGCGGTCAAACCATATTCGGTTCTTACAGTTGCTTCCTGATCGGTGTATAAATTCTTCAGAAGGCAGATGAGATGTTTTGGAACACCCATGTCGTTAAGAACTGTCCATAGTTTGTTGTGATCTACACAATCGAAAACCTTCATGTAGTCTATAAATTCCATTATCCATCGAATGTTGGCGATATGATCTCGGGTGCCTCTGCCACTTATAAACCCGGCCTGTATATCTGAAAGTTCTCGTGTCATATATTGTTCCAATCGGGCTTGCAAAATCTTGAGCATTATCTTGCTAGCGTGCGAAATGAGTGCAATCGTCCGATAGTTGGAACATTCTTTAGCACTTCCTTTTCATCATCTCCCAAGATTTTAAATAATTCAGCTGGTATTTCATCAATACCTGGAGCCTTATTGTTCGCTATGCATTCTAAAGCCCACTTGATTTCGCTTTCCAAAATGTCTGGTTCTAATTCGATAGTTTTTTTTTGTATAGTTCTTCGGTGTATTCGCGCCACCGATTCTTGATGTCCTCCTTCTCCATCAGATCTCTGCCTTGTTTATCTTTTATTGTGCCAATTTTTGCATGAAATGTTCTCTTGATTTCATCGATTTTTTTGAAAAGGTCTCTCGTCTTTCCTTTTCGATTGTTGTCTTCGATTTGTTGACATTGGCCATTTTGTATGTTTATCTTTGTTTCTTCTTGTTCTCCATTGGAATTCGGCATTCAATCGAGAAAACCTTTCTTTATCTCCACTGCCTTTTGCATTCCGTCTTTCTTTGGCGTTTTGTTGTTTGGTATGTTTATATTTGCCTCATCCTTGATGATGTCCCGAATTTCAGACCAGAGTTCTTCTGGCTCTCTGTCAATCATATCTAGCCCGTCAAATCTGTTCTTAACCTCCACCGTATATTTACACGGAATGTTGCTAAGATTATACCGTGCTGGTCTAGCTGTTTAATTTGTTGTCTTTAGTTTCGTTTGAAACTTAGCAATAAGCAGTTCATGATCTGAGCCGCAGTCAGCACCAGGTCTTGTTTTAGCTAGCTGGATGGAGCTTCTCCATCTTTGACTACAAAGTATGTAATCGATTTGATTTTGTATTGTCCGTTCGGGGACGTCCATGTGTAGAGTCGTCTTTTAGGCTGTTGAAAGCACGTATTTGTTATAAACAAGGAGTTGTTCTGACAGAATTCCAATAGTCTGTCTCCTGCTTCATTTCGATCTCCTAGTCCAAAATTTCCAGTTATACCAGTTAATGGTTTACTTCCTACTTTGGCGTTCCAATCGTCCATGATGACAATGGTATCTTTTTTTGGTGTTGTATCAACGAGTTGCTGCAAGCTGACATAAAAGTCTTCTATTTCTTCTTCATCTGCACCTGTAGTAGGTGCATAGACTTGAATCACTGTGACATTAATCGGTTTGCCTAATAATCGAATTGATATTATCCTGTCATTTTTGGGGTTGTATCCAAGCACTGAGTTAGACAACATTTTATTAACGATTATGGCTACACCGTTTCTTCTGTGATTTTCCTGTCTACAATAGAATATGTGGTAGTCATCTGATATGAAATGACCCATTCCTGTCCATTTCAATTCACTAATTCCTAGAATGCCGATGTTTATTCTTGACATTTTTCCTTTGACAACGTCAAGTTTACCTTGGTTCATCGTTCTGACGTTCCAAGTTCCGATTGTATGCGGCTTTTTACAGCATCGAACTTCCCTTTTGACACTAGATACGTCAGTGGCTGGACGTCCTTTCGACTTTGTTCCAGTCACGTCATAAATAATTCTAGCGCTACTCGTACTTGTTCTTTGCTCTTCCCCAGTAGCTGGTCGAGTACTTTCCGACCTGAGGATCTCATCTTCCAGTACTATGTTGAGATTATCCTGGTTGTAATTGTCCATTTGGTTTTCTAGGCATGATACTGGAGTGGGTTGCCATTTCCTTCTCCAGCGGATCGTATTTACTCTGATCTCTCGGCTGTGTTCTGTCCGCCATGGGTGACCCTGCCGGGAGTGAGCACTCCCCACGATTTAGTTCACAACGTCATCGAGATACGCAAGCCCCTTCACCACGACAAGGTAACGATCCGCGAAGGAGAACATAAAGTTACGATTGTCTAATGTTACTGAACATTTGCATCACCCGAAGGATCATTCAGTCTGTTGCACCGATCAAATGGCGTTGTGAAACTCGACATTTCGACTATCATAAATACTAATTATTCCACCAACAAAAGCAGAGCTTTTGGGTCACCGTTATTTTTTCTACAGTATATAAACAGTGATTTGTATGCTAGAAATGCAATTTCGAGTATAACAATGATTATTTAACTAAACAAAACGAAAGCATTATACAACGGAAACCATTATTTGTAGAGAAAAAATGCTCAATTCTACTACAGAAATGATCGTTTGTGCCATGAAAATGGCCAATTGTGCCACTGAAATGGTCATTTGTGTCAAGATCATAGTTAAAGGGGCGGGGAGGCAATTGGACAGACACGCACACAGACAGACAGACACAGGTGAATTACGGTTTCTAGACCCTATCCTTTCAGTCCAGGGAAAAAGCAAAAACACAAAACTACTTGAATCATTATGATTTCAATCATCTTGAATATGTAGAATTCATGAAAATTTGTCGAAAATTTGAACATTAGTTAGTAGCATACTGAATTCATCATTTCGCTGCAAAATTAGTTATTCGTAAACGTTGTCAAGTGTATGTTCATGAGATTGTAAAATCTGTCAAAGTCTATTGGTAAGCTGAAGATGATCGAATAAAGGATCGAAAATTCAAAAACACTAATTAAATGAAAAGCAAAAACACAAAGCTACTTGAATCATTATGATTTCAATCGTCTCGAATAAACGATTACTTAAAATATATTCTAATAACTAACTTGAGTAACATCTATAAGTTTAATTCCTGTCAATTGACCTAATTTGTATCACGACCTTTTAAAAAAAACAAAAATTGAAATAAAATAAATAATAATAAGGATTACTTTATAAACTTGTCTATATGTTTCATTTCAAACAATTTTGATGAATTCGAAGATTCCAGGTGAATTCTTGAAGCAATTTTATTCTATTAAATGGTGTCTAACTGAATATTTACTCGAAGTTGATTAAGATCAATTTCAACTTGACTATTATTCATTGAAGATGACCGAATATCTGCACTGTAAAAAATGCCATGTGTCTTACAAGACGGTTCATGTGTCTATTTTTCATTTTTTTCCATGAGCGTCTAAAGTCGGTTACCCGTTGACACTTGGTACGTCTAACTGAGACATATCGTGCGTCTAAAAACAAGACGCATCACATATGTCAGTAAGACGTGCCACATATCAACGGATAACCGATTTTAAACGCTGAATCAAAATAAATGAAAAATAGACACATGAACCGTCTTGTAAGACACATGGCATTTTTTACAGTGACGTTCTATTCTTTTTCTTCCATTCAACGCATCGTTGCTTTGAACAGTCTTCAACATAATCAATTGATAAATTCCATTATCAGCTAATATAGATGTCACTCAATTACATTTATTTTAATCATTATCAAATATTAGGTATGGGGTGTGGGCGGTGATGGGGCCTGGTGCAGCTTGAACTTGCGGAATCAATACATCTACATCAACCCCCACTACCATATCGATATACCCACACTCACACCTCAACGCATTTTGACTGTTTTTTATTGCATCAAAGCAAACACAAATACTGATTACATCTGTGCTGACTACAGTTATCAGTGGTGCATCCTATTTGTTTTGTCTCACACATTTGAGTTGTAGTTATATCACTCTTTCTATTCTAGAAAGCTCTATCAGTATTTTCTTTCACCATGGCCAAACAGTTTTCACGTGATCGCCAGCGTAAGTCGACTCAAAGAACTGAGGCATTACTGAACTACAATAGAGGAATTAATGATCTATCTTTTAATTACGACATTACTGTTCCAGTAGAAGAATCGCTCGAATCGAAAGTGCTACTACATCAAAATTCTAGCGAAATGCAACACCCAAGCGCACAAAAGTGAGTATTAACAGGTTTTTTTATTACATATAATTTCGGACTAGAAGAAGAAAAATGTTCAACTGACTTTTTTGTACAATAATGACTTTGAAAAGTGAACATCAATTTTTACGTAACGTACTAGACTGAACAAAGAACGCATGTTCGCATACAAACCCAATATTGGAGTGAGCGAAAGAAAGCTGCAGACGAAGCAGCAGCAGTTATTTGTGGGTGTTGAGTGTGTATAAGAGTGTTCTTTACACTCCACTCATACTCCACGCCCGTCCTAGACACCCCACACGCTGTACTGTAACACAGGCTGCTTTTCGATCTTCTCGCACTCGGTTTTTTGAAGAATTGACTTGGCGTCATTTGTTATCATACCTAGACGTGTACCAAATTCGAGCACACTTTCGAGTTTTGATGCCGCGCGTTATAAGACTGAGCTCGATTTCAATTCGAACTCGATGACTGTACTTGAGAGATAGAAAACTAAAATAACATCTTTTCAATAAGAAGAGAGTATTATTAAACAATTTCACGACTGAAGATTTCATTCTATTTGAAGCTTTGCGACACCACTACTCGACGAGAGGTGTCACATATCCGAAATATCGGGGATGCTAGAGATGCCAACGGAGACGCCGACATACAAAACTATTAATAACACAATACCAATACTAGGGCTACATAGAATTATCTAAGTGTATTCTACATCTCTGCGTGAGACGCCGCATCTCTCGCACTGCTTCACAGAGAGATGCCGCATATCTGACATCTGCGTCTCCCGGTGAAAAAATATTTTTCGATTTTCAGGCCCTAGACCCCACCACATATACGTCGAACTTGAATTCAACTGAAACTTCAACTTTCAGCTTTCAAGTTTCACCTCATTGCTCTGACACTACTGCCGAATCTTTGATTCATGTGTGTGTAGACGAACGTATTTCCCGTCCCCGGCACCCACACCCTTGAAACTTGACAGTTGAAGGTTGAATTTTGAAAGTTGAAATTTCAGTTGAATTCAAGTTTCAAGTTCGACGTATATGCGGTGGGGTCAAGGGCTTGGAAATCGAAAATATTTTTTCACCGGGAGATGCAGATGCCAGATATGCGGCATCTCTCTGTGGAGAAGTGCGAGAGATGCAGCGTCTCTGCGTGAGACGCGGCAAGTGTGTTGCAGATACAGAATGCGCGTGATTGATTTCTTATAGCGATGATATGTTATTTGCTGGGAGTATCACTGTTGTGTATCCCGCATCTCTCGTGGCATCTCTAGTATTCCCGATTTTTAGGATATGTGACACTGCTGTACTCGACGGTGCTAGCTAGGAACTTACGAATTTTTGTGATCATTATTAACAGTGAATCCCGTCGCCCAATAAAAAAGCTATGTCAAATTACACTCCAGGTGTTGCAAACGATTTGAAACTAAGTTTATTAGTTTGAGGCTCAGCATTGGACCCTGATTATTTTTCACAAGTTTATTTTGTATTTTACCACAACGCAATTTTGTACATCTGGAGTCCCACTCAGATATCGAGAAAATGTTTTTATCAATATTCTATTGTAAGTCTGTATTGTTCGGGAGCGTTAGCTGCGCTGATCGTAGATATCACACATTTTTAAAGGTATTCAAATAATGAAAAAGATTTGAACTACTCTCGGAAAGCTGTAAAAAAGCAGTTTTTCATATAAAAGGTCATTCAAGTTGAAATGATGGTCATCAACAATCGGTTCATTTGATGCAGAATGGATTTTCTCTATCAGAATCTATAAGAATGTCTTAGACATTCAAATATTTGCCTATCAATAAATGCCATATACCGGTCCGATTGAGTCATATTGGGACCCTATAGTGCTTTATTCAGTCTTATGAAGTTACACTGCCTAGGAGTGCAGAGGTGGGATTTTTCACTGTATCTATATTCGATATGCTCTTTTGGGTGGTATTATTTTCAACTTGAAATTTGATGCCTGGTTAAGCACTTTTACTTGAAGCACTAACTTTGACAGCTAATTTGTGTTCTTTATGACTAAGATTAGATGGTTTCCTAGTAGAACAGACCCCACTCGACTTCAAACGAATGTCATATTTGACATCAGCACAAAAAATGAATCAATCTATGCGTGCTTCATATTTCATCTGCGACTTTTGTTTTGCTCAAAATTTTACCCCTAATCTCCCTCAGAGATATATGGAAAAATGAATTTCATCGAAAAATCCTGTTTGCCAACTGGAAATAGTTCTGGGCTTGAAAAACGTTATTGAAGACTAAATCAGAGTTGTGTAGATATTTATGATATTGTTTTGATGAAATTCATTTTTCCATATGCCCATGAGGGGTAAGAATTGGACCGGAGAAAAAGTTTCATAAGTTATTTGAATCACATATAGATCGACTCCATTTTTTGTGTTGATTTCAAATATGACATTTATTTGAAGCCAAACGAGATTTGTTTTACTCGCAAACGACCCAAAACTAGTCAAAACAGACAAGATTCCTGTCACGTATATGTGTTGGAGAAAAAATGATTTATTAGACATCGAATTTCAAGTTGAAAATGTGGTCATCAGAAAGAGCTGCTTGAATCGCATATGCAGTGAAAAACTGACAGACGCATCCGTAGAAACAACAACTTCAAAAGACTGAAAAACTCATTATTAGTCACTAGATAACTCCATCGAAGTGGTATACAGCATTTATTGACAGAAAACGATTCGAATGTCCAACGAAAACTTATAGATTCTGATAGAGAATGGATCTCTACATCATATGAATCATTTTCCCACGAATCTAAATAATATCAACAATCAACACGCATACCGCTATCGAACTATAAAGACTTGCAATAGAATAGCGATAAAACAAACTTGTCTGTACCTGTGAGGGACCCCAGTACAGAGCTGTGGGTCCACGTTGTTGTGGACCCTGACCCGCAGCTCCCTAAACCTCAGGTTAAAACATTGAGATGTGATAAAACGCAAAATAAACTTGTGAAAAATAATCAGAGTCCGATGCCGAGCCTCAAACTAATAAACTTAGTTTCAGATTCTTTGGGACAGTTGACGCGTAGTTTGACCCATTCGTTGGTCGAAGTCTCGATATTTATTTTACTACTATAGATGATAATGAGCTTTGCAGTGATCACATTCTTGGTTCATTATACGGTTCTATAATGATTTGAATAAAATTTCATTGTCTAGCATTCGATTTGGAATATGTCAGTCGCTTGATTTTACTTTACGAACAAAGATTTGTCTATGTGCCTCATTTCCAAGCAGTGATGTAGCCAGCAGGTTAGCAATTGGGCAATTGTCACCCAAACCAAATTTTATTACCACCTAATTTTTTTTAATGTGAGCAATTGCTTATTGTTAAAAAATATTAAAACCTGTGTATATTTAAAGATGTAAGGATTTTTTTATTTCAACACATTTTCTTTTGATAAGATTTAATCAAGTGATTTAAAACAAAATAATTTGCAATCTCTTCCCGTCAAGGAATGATCACAATAATAATTTATTGATATTATTTGTTTTTTTTATTGATGTTCATTATACTATTTTTTCTTCTATTTATGCTTATTTATGCTATTTCTTGTTCTATCCAAGCAGACAAACATGGCCGAAAACGCGCTTAAACGCACAGGAAAAAGTCAAAAATCGAGAAAAAGGGGGCGTGTTTGGATAACAATCGAGGTTCCCGATTGTGAGCGAAAAACGCATATTTTTCGCCCTTTTTATACGTTTTAGGGTATTTCCAGTCAAGTAACGCGTGTAAATGCATTAGAAAACCACAAAAAGTGGTCGTGTTTTTCGTAGTCGTTATCCGTGCCGAGATCATAATTATGTTTCTCGAGTATAATAAAAAATAACAAGTTTTTGTGTTTTTTCAATGCATTTACAAGCATTATTTGACTGGAATCGCGTTAAAACATGTAAAAAGGACGAAGAATAGGCGTTCTTCGTTCACGGTCGGGCACCCGATTGTCATCCAAACACGCCCACTTTTTCTCGATTTTTGACTTTTTCTGTGCGTTTAAGCGCGTTTTCGACAAAATTTGTTTATGACTTTTCAAATAAAATATTCAAATGTATGAAATTGAAGAATACATTCGGAAATATGGGGGAAAAGCAGCGAATTTATTTATTAATCCAGAATGACTAATTTCTCTTCCAGTAAATAACGGCTTCTGTAATGCTGATATTTAAAAAAACAGTTATTGGCAACTAGAGTTTTTCATTGCCCACTATTTCCACCCAATAAAAATAATTTAGCTGGTAAATTGCCACCTACTTAAAAAATCCTGGCTACGCCACTGTCTCCAAGTATTATCAACTGTGGTTGCATCTAATTCAGAAAGTATAATTTTCTACTTATAGAAATCTTTTTTAGTTTACAAGCTATTATCCAGTTCAAAATCTCCCATACTAGTCTTTTTTTGCTAAGATTATGATATACGTAATACTACTGCTCTCTTCCGCTTCGGTTTCATCTAAGCTTTTATCAATTATTGGCTTGTGGCAACGATACTTTTAACGCTTAGTGAATTCTCTCTAAGCAAAAAACTACTGTCAATCCTGTTTACTTATTCGGTCCTTAGCCACTATTCTTTATTCATAGACAAGTGACTAATTTTTTCAATGGTTAATATCGATTTGAAATGATTGAATACTCTGTTTTACTGAATCTTAAATTATTGTTGTCTTTTATGTAAGTATGCTGGCTGAGCAACTGAATAGCCAGGAGGCACGAGAACTTTTGTCTGCCGTTGATCAAATGCGGATGCTCTTGCATGAAGAACGTATTCCAATGCCTGAGATTGTAGTCGTTGGCGACCAATCAGTGGGAAAATCGTCCGTTCTCGAAGCCATTTCTGGTATTGAATTACCTAGAGCGCAAAACATATGCACACGGTGTCCACTTGAATTACGTATGAAATCTACAACTGGAGAAGAGTATGCAATAATTACAAGTAGAGAGACCAACAAGAATGCTGTAAACGACCAACAGAGTGACATTAAAATTCAAGATCTTACTAAGATTTCAGATGAAGTAACCAAAATGACAGAAAAACTTGCTGGTCATGGAAATAATTGCAGTTCGAATCCGATATATTTGACTATCTACAAAAGAGATATCCCATATGATCTAACTCTCATTGATCTTCCTGGTATCACACGTAATCCAGCAGCTGGGCAAGCCACCGATATTTACTCGCAAATACTAAAGTTAATAAACAAATACATCGAGCCGGAAACAGCAGTAAGTAATTCGTTCCTGTATGATAGACCTATCAAAAGTATGCAATTACTTCTATTCGTAATCGATTTTGCACTTCTGTCAGTAGACAACTTCACCTCGATTATTCGCTTAATATCATCTAAAACCCATAAGAACTGATATGAGCATGAAAGTCAATTATTTTTCTAGCAAATTGCACTTCCTTATGATGTCGTGATGTGAGAAAATAAGAGAATACATCCTATTCCGCAATGTTGAACATTCCGGAACCAGTTCCGCTCACGGAACCAATTCCATCTAATTCCCGGGATTCCGTTTATCCATTCCGATTCCATTCCGGAATTACACGGAATTCAAACGGATTCCGCCTAATTCCCAACGGTTCCAGAATTCAGCGCACTTACACCAACATCCACACCCACACTTATCACAACGCCCACACTAACACCAACACTTATGCTAACACCCGCACAGACACCCACACTTATGGCAACACCCACACCATGCAATTCCGGTACGGAATTCTGGGAATTAGGTCGAACAGGAATTGATCGGAAGTGAACGGAATTACACGGAATTCCGTCTAATTCCCAGCGATTCCGTATTGAGCTAATTCCGGAATTGGACTGAATTCCGTGGAATTCCAGGAATCGGACGAACTAATTCCGGAATCGAACGAAGCAGTTCCGGAATTGGACAGTGTTCATATTTGACCTAATTCCGGAATCGACGGAACTGATTCCGGAGGCGGAACTGGTTCCGGCAAGTTCAACATTGCGGAATTGAATGACTGCTCGAAAATAAGAGGGATAGCTTTCACTTCTTTGAGGAAAAATAGAAGTTTCAATAGATATGATTTGATTGTTTTCAAATATTCAAGAGTCAAACATTTTAAAAAGACACTTTCTCTTTCAGGTCGTACTTCACGTCATTCAAGCTTCGACTGATTTCACAACATCAGAAACGCTCAAACTGGCGAAAGTTTTTGATCCTAAATGTGAACGACAATTGATTGCTGTCTCAAAAATAGACAAGTTCGATAAGGGTATCTCAGAAAAATTACAAGGAGAAGGGCCTGGCGCGATGCCGCTTAAGCTGGGCTGTGTCGCGGTTTTAAACCGAAATCCACTTGAAATCGAACAAAACATTTCATTTAGTGAAATGCGAAGACGTGAAGCCCAATTTTTCATCGACAACGGTACACATTTTGACGATGCCCCTGATGAATTGAAGGGGAGTGAACAACTTGTCAAGCGGCTTGCTTCTATTCAACAAGAGCGTATTCGTTCAACATTTCCACAAATCCTTCAGAAGTTAAAAGATAGAATCCAAGAGAAAAACGCAGAATTGACTGCCATGCCAGTAATGATAACTTCAGAACATGAATTTTCCATGAAATTCTATCAATTGGTTCATGAACTGCAAGACATCATTCAAATGAAGCTCGACGGTAACTATAGTCGTATCATTGTAGACAGGAGTACTGTGCAATCAGATTCAGACTCGGATGGCGATGCGTGCTTAGAAAATGATCGTTTGGCTTATCATATTTACGCATGCCAGCAACGTTTTAAGAATAGATTAAAAGAATGCTTCAAAAACATTTCATCGCTAGAATACCATAAAAATGTTTTGAAAGCTATTACAGATACATCTGGTATATCTCTTCCAAATATATATGCGCCACAACTCATACAAAGATTATTTCAGGAAGAAACAGGTCATGTACCAGATGTATGCTTCAATTTCGTTGAAGACATGCTGACATGTATTAAAACCATTCTTATTAGACTCTTCAACCAGACATTCAACAAATATTATTCACGTTTAGCAGACAGACTTAGAGACGTGCTTGAACGCCATATTTCCACGAGTGAGAAACGGTGTCGTGCTTCTTTAGAAGAAATACTCGAAATGGAACATCGCGTGTTCACATTGAACGATCAATACATGGAAATAGTAAATATTGTTAAGCAAGACAAAATGGCAAAGGCAAATGGGCAGCATGCTAATGGAACAACAACAATGCAACTTAACCAGGCGCCCTCGAATACAGTTTCTTCTAAGATCGTTCGACAAACGAGATTGACTGATGATTTCATCGACTATTCGCCAACTTCGAATGAGTCTCAAGCCGCATTCGATATGCAATTGAATTTATTTGCTTATGCAAATGTAAGAAAAACAGATTCAAACCTAATACGCGCCTTGATTCTTTCTATATATATCATATTTTACAGTTGGTGCAAAGACGAATAGCAGACAACGTATCACAAGTTCTTTACTATCGATTGGTTACGCATTGTGCTTTGACAGTCGACGAAGCATTAATCTCTTCGATATCATCTTTATCGGAACTAGCACGTCTTATGCGTGAACCACCAGAACAGACTAGTCGCCGAAACAAGCTCAAACACAGTATTCAACGTTTGGAAGAAGCATTACTAGTTGGACAGAAGCAGATTTGAAGGGACTTGTGGCAGTACTCTGAACTAATATGCTTATTGATTTAAATCAATGAAGAGTAGAGGAACACTTTAATTAAACTGGAAGGCCTATTTTCATTTTCAAAATGATTATTGAAAAATATGAATAGTGTCGATTTTTTTTCTTAGTGGAAATAAAGATTCAGTAGAGTAACTCACACATAAAGTATTTCAATTATGAGATGTGCAGATCTTTGAAGAATTATAAAGCTCGAGAGGTTATTTAACATCAGATCGACGTTCTCGATTAACACCTGAAAATACTGATGTTTTATTATTTCTCAACAAAAATTTACCGAAAAATGTAGATTAAGTTAGTCATATGTACTTTAATATATTCATAGTTTTGTTTTATTTTTTTACTGCTAAGTCATTTGAACTTTGAAGCTGACATAAATAAATTTATGAACTTGAAACTATAAATAATATAGACTAGTCCATTGAAAAAGTCAAGGATCTATTACAACTGAATATGGTGAACATAATCACAAAATCGAATATTTTCTTCCTCAATATAAATCATTACGTAATTCTTACGTACAATTTTCGTTCCGCCGCAATTATACGTATTTTCTTGAGTTCTGTCTTTTTTTGTTACGTTCAGTACGTAACTATACGATATTTCCTTTCTGTTCTGTCGTGACATACGACGATACGATAACGAAACGTATAACACCTTTTACGTCTTACGGCCCATCACTAAACTTAGCACTTTATACCGGTATATCAATTTCGAATCGTAGGGTTAAGTAAAGGAAAAACAGTAGTACCACAAAATGAAGAAAATGATCATTTTTCGTCGAAAGGTGATATTTTGTGGTGTAAGAAAAATCGTGATACCAGCAAATTTTTCTTATGGATTTTTTTTTATTTATAATTTATTTGTGCCTTGAATGGTTCACATCTTATGGATTTTTCTATGGTACCTCTTAGAGTAATGACACCTTCAATTAATGAAAGTTTCAGCTTGATTACGGCTGTTAACCGTGTGAGTTGGGAGATTATCGGTGGAAGTTACGCAGCCTGTGCGTCTCAGAAATAACAGTATTTTCTGGTGTTTTTCAAGCTGTATTCAATGAGATATGAATCAATTTATAGCAAGAAAGTATGTTCTTTTTCCTTTGGAGAATCCGAGGTTCAGTGCTGATAATTCTGATAGGCTTTCCGCAGTATCACCCTTATCGTCACATAGTGGCCATCCTTTTTTTACGCAGAAATGGTATGATTTTGTAGTGCTTTTTAAGCTCTATTTAGTGATATATGACTCAGTTTGAAGCAAGAAAGTATGGTCGTTTTCCTATGGTCAACTAATGGCTGAATACTAGTAACTTTCATAGGATATCTGCAATATTGCCTCTTTCATCACATAACGGTCATCACCTTTTTCACTGAAAAATACTGCCATTTTGTAGAATTTTTTAAACTCTATCTAATGAGATATTTTACGATGTTTAAGTAAAAGTTTTTTTCAATAATTATCATCGATCTCTTCTGACATATGTCGGTCGATTGTTTGTGTTTATCGTGCTAGGAAGAAGGTAGATTAAGTTTCACTGAAGCTGTATGAATTTAGTATCAAAATGATCAGCTCGTTTTTCTGCAACGTTCTGTGTAGTTTTTCGATACTGTCTATGACGGAGAAAAAAAATGGGCCGATTTGACTACTTATGCGCCTCCGTCCTTTCACTGTTTTCAATTTCAGTACAGAAGCATTATGATCCAAGAATTCCTCGTGAGCGACTATGGTATACCGACGATAAGCTGAACGCTTGAGCTATGGTTCCCTTCTGGAGGCATTCTTATGAACTACATCAAGTCCTATTTCGCCAAAGTCACTTTTGACAGCCAATTGAATCATTTGAAAAATATTCGGAAATTTGATAGAAGGATCTGGCCACGATAACCTAGTCATCCTTATATATTATTTTATGTTTCAATTTGTAGAATCGGAATTACTGTAGTTTCAATTTGGTTTATTCTGTAAACGTCTCGATTGCTTGAAATCCGAGAAGTATAAAATTCCTTCAAATCAACAAGATGCATTATATGTGTGCCGATATTGATGGCACGCTTCGATGATTCTCCTTCCTTCTCTTTCTGTTCTCTTTCCATTGTTCTAATGTATCTCTCTCCTATATATACGTGCGTTATGTATGAAGTTGTGACACTCTGGAGATGTCAGATGACACAATACACCATCATGCCGACGGGCGTAGGCGACACTCTCTAGTTTTGTCGTTACACTCTGGATAACTTGAAGTAGCCTAATAAACATCTTTGCTGAGAGTGGCACAAGCTACTCCAATCAAGTTGTTCGTTACACTATGATATTCTATTGAATGCATCTGCACGATTCTTTTCTTTGCATAATGATAGAATCTTATCAACGAACTATTACTATTATGAAATCAACTATGAATTTAATTCGTCCTGGAAATGAAAAAATATATGAACTGTTGAAAATGCTACCTTCACTTACCTGATATGGAGGATAAGTATCCATAATCATATTCAGTCGTGTACACACTTGCCGAAATGAACAGATAATTGTAAAATCACTCAGATTATCGAAAATCATATGAACAAGCTCAACGGGTAATGTTAAAAGAAATGTAGAATCTTGATGAGTCATTATTTTTGTTTGGTTTTCAACATCATATTCTGTTGAATTGAATGTCTCTTGAAATTTTCTTTTATTCATATCCATATAATTTGTGGTTTATTGACGAATGCCTTTGCAGATTAAAATACACTAGATGCACTTTGATAGACCCTGAAAAAAAATCAAGACTAATGAAATATAATAGGCAAGACAACTTTTCCAGTCATCTCGAATGTCTTACTCGTTATGTAGTTGTTCAATTCTTCCTAGAATTAAAAAAAATTTATTTATTATTATTTTTTTCTTCGAGAATCTATCAACGAAAAACAAAAAGTAAGGTTTTTCAGTTAACATTTTCTCCTAAAAATATGTATTTAAAAATTTAATTTTGTAAAAACAGATTTTAGATTTAATAAAACGGATTCAGGTATTTATGATAAATTCAAACATTTTTTCGCTTGAAAAATGTTCATTTCAAAGAATACGATGATAAAGGTATTTTTACTAATTATTGAATAGATCGACAAAAGTAATTGTTCAAATATTGAATTTTCGTACTTCGAATGTTAACATGAGAAACGAATGAAAAAACGTGTCTTATCTGTCTTCAATTTCGAATAACTCTTTTCTATCAGCCTTAATTGATTTGAGAAAACTCTTGACTAACCTTTAACAAGACAATAATCTTATCCAATAGGTCATGAGAAAATAGATTAAACCAAGAATATCGACTAACATGAAAGTAGATGTTCAGTTATTTATTGATCTCAGATTTTTGTAATCTGTTCTTCAATATATCTAATTGTTCGATCATCATCGAATTTATTTTCAATTCCATATTTTTACATAAATAATATTAAAAAAACTGTCGTGACAACTCAACGTCTAATGAACTACAGGATATCCTACTGCTTATTACCATCATATTCTTCATAAAATATGATAATAATAATCAATAATTTCTTATAATTAAAAACAATTATATAATCTAGTTCGATAAGATTCATTTAAACGTTAACTCGATGTTTAAGACTTGATATCGTTTTGTCCAAGATAAAAATAGATTTAATATAAAGTAAGTCACATATTGCTTCTATTTTTATTGAATTAAACAACAAAGGAATATTCTGTATGTTACATTCATCATATTTTTACATTTATTCTAACCGTGTTGGAAAATTTCGAGCTGTATCAAAGATCTCTAATCGCTTAGAAATATCTGCTAGTACCTTACGTATAATATTACTTCATTCTGTTTGTATTCATTCGAGAGACATTATCTTCTTGTATAAATGCAGTACTTTCGAATTAGAGAAGAAATAGATTTTTGACAGTTTTCATATATAGTACTTCCTATCTTATTCTTAAATTTGAATTGATGAAGATTTCAATGAGAAAGAAACTATCAGCGTTTAATAACTTTTGTCGTAGAAATTATATTTTGAAGTCAAAATAAAATGACTGACGTGTCGTCTTATTTACTCACTAGTTTTGAATTGACGATCACAAGAGAGTATATATCTTTAAAAAAATTTGCCATAGAATAGATCAACCAGTATATTTATAGATAACTTTATGTTTATAATTTAAATGAGGACAATTTTTAGCAATGTTACAAAGGATAGGGTGTGGGTGTGATTATAATACGTCGTGACACCGACAGTGCAGTAAACACAAGAAATGTCAATGTTGATGAAACAAATGAAATAAAATCACTAATTAAATATAATCAAGGCTTGAACTGATGTCATACAGTCAGGCAAGAATCAAATGATCAAAGGAAATAAAAGTAATAATAAGATAGCACATGTTGAAATGAATAGGTGTTTATATTTCTTGAATTGTTTTGATAATAGTCGTCTACACGATTGATTTCTCTTAGAATTCGAACTAATCCGGGGGTGTGGACGCATAGAAGAGTTTTACATCTATATACATACACCTTAAATCTTCTATAAGCTGAAATGTAATTTTTTTCTTTTTAGTACGCTATAGTTGCATGAATAAGTTTGATAGATTTGATGGTCATAATAGCCACCCATGTTGCGAAAACCGGATCAGTTTTAGCGGTAAAACGGTATGTAGATGTGTCTTCTCTTCATTTACACTTACACCCTATTTTCATGATGTTCAACTAGATGACTTGATCATTTATCGAACCAGGGTTTCGATAATCAAATCAACCATTGTCTCATCTGTCTCATCTTAAAATATTCGAGATACACTTTAAATGTCGTTGACTTTTAAAATTTAACTAATATTAAATAAATATCATCGGAAACCATCTTCTTGAGAGTGGGTATGAATGTGAATTTAAATAATATCAACACCCACATCATCGGGACTATCGAGAATAACAAGTTTTGTTAATTGGTGTAGCTGATGAAGATTAGAAATAAGTGAACGCAACGATTGTTGCGAGACATGGTTTAACTTTAAAGATTGAAAATTTTCAAAGTTCTCAATCGAAGATAGACAATTTGAGATGAGTTTAAGTTTTGCAGCAGACATCTGAATTGGAACTGTCTTAGATCATTATCAATTTGTATTGAAGCCCAGTGAGTGTTAATCAGATAGGTGAAACGCGAGTTGAAATTAGAAAAATTTCGTTAAATGAAAGATAATCAAAACAAAAATAGATTAACTCGTTTGGAAAATGAAGAACGTGTGATCGTACAGTCATCGAAAACGTGAGAAAATTCTATGTAATAACAAAATTAATTACTGTGATAACTGTGGAAGAATTAACAATAATTTTATTTTCTCATCAGTGGATAACAACAACTGTATTGAATATGCAAGAGAAAGTAAAAAAATAGAACCAGTGCTCTTAAAAACCTTTCCTGTCAAACATTCCACTACAGCACAAAAATAAAATGTGGCGTAAATCATGATATTAGTCTATGCACTCAGTATACAGTTATACTCCAGTGTAGTTTCTATTCTCTCAAAAGAAAAGATAAGCAGGCTCGATTGCACCAATACACGTTATTTTGTCAAATCCGATCGTTTTTCTACCTGCGTATATGTTTTCCCATGATATTATTCACTCTCTTCCATTAACAAAATTTAGTATGGTAATCAAAATGTTGCACTTGTTTTCTTTAGAAATAAATTTCCCGCGAAGTCAATAACAGGACGAAAGAAAAAAAAAGAATTTTTGTCGCGATTTGATATAACTTTGTGAAATAAGTGTACATTTCTTGACTCAAATAATTCTTTATGTCTCTCTATAAACTCGTGTCGAAGTTAACTTAAAAGAATTGCGTTTTTCGCATATATTGAAAGATCTAACGGATTAGTGAATAGCCGCGCTTGGTTTCTGGAAGTGACATCAAGACCACTTTGGCAAAATAATGTGAAACAAAATTCAAGCATTGCTTTTCGGAGAAATTAGTAGAGATTCCATGCAATATGACTTCGTTTCACCAATAAAATTTTCAATTAGCAATCTCATTTATGAAATTTTTGTTGATTATTTACAATAAATGTGATATATGTTAGGCTAATGAGCCATTAGTTGGCATAGTTCTAGAAATTGAAAAATAGTTTGTATTTATTTATTTTTCATGGTAAAGTTTTAACAAATAACAACAAAATCTATGTTGTGTTTGGCAAGAATGTGTAGTTATTTCTTCATAGTTAACATTATTGGAAATACCAGACAAGAAAAACAAAGTGTTGCAAATATAGAAAGTCGATAAGGAAAGAATTGATTCTAAAATTGAATAAGAAAAGTTCTTCTCAAAATTGTCTCTATATTTCGAAAAAACTCAATTTCAGTATTTTCAAAAACTTCCACTAGCGCATTGTAATTAATCGACATCTACGCGCCGGATATTGTTATAGTAACTTCCTGATCATATAGATGGCAATCACAAAAAAAGAGCATCTAGCCTTTGAGATGTTTAGTAATTATGAAAATTTCTATGAAAATAATTTCTATAATTTGATGATTGAATAAGAGAAATTTCAAAACTGTTTGCGTACTTCATTTAATGATATCGGATCGATATTAACGAATAATCTATAGCCAAATTCACCAATAATAACGAACCACATTAACGACATGATACTGATGATAATAAATTCAATGATAGTTTTAGTTTGCCATTTTTTCCTGGGAGTTTTGAGTTCATTATTAGATATTATAATTGATATATTTTTTTCTACTTACCTTCAACATAAAAGATATCTACACAAACACGACAAATATATGCGGTTACAAGCGCAAGCATATGCGCATTGAGTACGACTTATATGAACATAATACAGGAACCAATGATAACAATTACGAAGCAAAGGATGTATTGAGATACATAAAGAAAAGTCTCCATTTTGAGAAATTATGCTCGTGATTTTTACTATGCTCCGTACTGACATCATTGGAGATAGTACGAAGATGTAAAATACACATTCTTATCGGTTCAAAAAGAACGATATTAATAATAATAAAGACGAAAATGGTTCTCAAAAGACCAATGAGGTCATCCCATTTCGGTTTGAATACAAACTTCGAATGAAGGGCTACTTCTAAAGTGAAAACAGTAATATTATAGTAGCTATAAATAAGCTAAAGTTTATTTCGCTGAATTCTTCAGGTTCTTGTTGATCGATATGAGATGTTTTCTTATGTTTTTCTTCTGTTCTTATGAGATTGGTCATCTTTGAAATGGTTTTTTGTATGGTGCTCTAAGTAATGTGATGCAAAATGGATGATATCTGAACTTATATCTAAATATAAGGAAATAAAAATGTGACAAAGCCGGACGACCGTTAGAAATATTGATCAATCATATCTCTCGACGAAAGACTTGGAAGAAAACACATGTATTTGTATTGACGTCAGTCGTACAGACTAGTCCAATTGTCTTTTTAATTACCATTATTTTACTTTCTCTCGCCCTTTATGACGAGAGTGAGGTCGAGCATTACTATCCACTCGTTAAACACGTTTAAAAAAATTTTTTTTTTTTGGTCAATGAAACAGATCTTTCTATGGCAACACATCGTTTAAAGCAAAACTGTACAAAGATTATTTAGTTTTTTTTTATGGTGTTCTTGAGAAATATTGAATGAAATATGTTTGATCATTATCATTGATACCAATAATAATCGAATACACTATATTATTTTCTAATATCCTTTAATGCTTCTTTAGATATGTGTTTATTTGAGAGAAATATTATCGATTTGTTGGTTGTGAGTTGTTCTTCATAGATACAGAAACACACACGCTCAAAAACTTCAATGATTTCATCGGTGATTGTAGTCGATGGGCAACCACTTCGGGGTACATCTTCGAAAACAGGTTCGGGATCCTTGACTTCAGCCACTTACTTTGTGATGGTACAATGTAGATGCAACAGAGTCCATATAAAAATTATCAGGCTCTTTATGGATTTCGGGGGGGCATTTAGTCGTGTTCGATTAAAAATCTTTCTGACTGCTCGTTACCTAATATTCGGCATATTTAAAATATGGGCAGCCATGATTGTGAAAAACGTTTTTTTTCCTACGAAGGAAGTATGCGCAGTGCCATGTCACACTTACTCTTCCATCAATGAAGTTCGATAATAATAAAAAAGCGTCAGCTTACTTTTTTAGATAGTGATGCGACCACAATGGTCAATTTATTGCTTTTTCACAGTAAAATAAATGAGATTACATAAAATAATATGTACAAGAGATCTATTATGTATAAAAGAAGAATAGAGTAATGTTCCAGATCGATTGAGAATGTATCAACGGAATCATTGCGGAGTGAGATACCTAGTGTTCTAGATTAGACAGAAAGCATTCGATGGTATTTAGGAATAATTTTAGGTGCTACCGAACATGTGTCACTAAATACTTTGAGTTGCTTTGTTAGAATGTGGTTTGTCTTTCGTGATTCGATCGCTAGTTGTCTTTCGTCTTTTGTTGACAACTGATCGAATGCTTCAAGCCATTGACGATCCTCTTCAATTAGTTGCTGTCGATAAAGTAGAACGGCATCATATAACTGTTGCATTTCTTCTGTAGATGTATCAATCAAAGCTAATATTCGATAGGTGTTTAAAGTATTTTTTAAATATTGAAAATTGGTTCCATTGATTCCGTAAGATCGACCTATGATCTCTGCTTGTTGTTCGATCGATAATGTTACTGGTATGTATAATTGACTAAGGCAATTGACAACACAAGTTAGTGCCCATTCAACAGTATTCCCATCGGACATTAGCACAGGAAGAAAGTCATATGTATAAATATCCATTTTGACACCATCGACATCGATTGGACTTTCACGATGAACGAATGCTTCAATAAATGGAATCAATTGATCAATGCCAGATATTAGCAAATAACCTTTAACGAAACTATTCTCACATGGTTTCAAGCCCATTGTCAAGCCCATACAATCTTTTGTGCCTCGATAAATGACATCTTGGCATAAAAATCTTTTACTATAACCTGTCAACGAACAATCAGGAATGATTTTTTCGACATGCTCAAAAGGATTCCATATCAATGATGCATAGGCAAAAACAGCGATAGTTCCTTTTAATTTTACGTATTCAATTATATTAGCTCGTTTCGTCGGATCACTATTCAATCCATTCAATTGTTTCAGGGCATTATCCAAGGCATTCAATTTTTCCATCGTATTTTAACTCGAATAGCTTGTGAACAAGAAATGATATGCCTTTTATCGGCTGTTCTTTACTGAAACAAGTGGAAATTTCTTCATGACATCATGTTACCTAGTTGAATAAATATTTTCTTCCATATGGATGATGTCATATATTTATTTTTGTCAACAGAGAAGGGAGAAAATGTAACGCAAATAATTTCTTTTTTCTATTCGTTATAAACTGGCTTTTTCTCCGAAATCATTATATTTACACTAGTACATGTCACGGAAATGAAGCCAGATGAATACGAAGGGAAAAAATATAAGATTGAAACAGTGGATGTGAATAATAAAATTGATGATAAACAAGGACTCAGGCAGTAAACTTCTCATGTTACGAAAACCAGAGGTAAACCACCGTAAATCGCTTATTTTAAATTTAACAGTAATTTTGAATCGACCTAATTTGTTTATCTTAAAAAAGCAATCAAAAAAATTGTACATAAAAAAATGTTTTTATTTTAAAACATAAATATAAAAAAGAATTTAACATTTTCAAAATTTAATCTAAAGAGGAAATTATTATTAAAATATTAGTAAAAAAAAGTAAATACGTAAAATTATTTGTTAAAACAATTAATTTGAAACTGAACTTCTTACTCTTTTGTTCATCATTTTGTCGAACCACGTGAGCAAGCAAAATAAGCGAAAGACCGATGAGCACACGTATGAATTAATCTTCTTCATTGTTGAAAATCTTTGCAAAAAGAAATTATGAATATCATAAATGATTCGACTATGTAAAACTACATTTTGTTTTGCGGGAAAATGCATTATTCAAGCCTTCGCCATCTATTCGAATTCATTGAAGAGATCAATTGATATGTCAAATCCATTAACGAATACATGCACTACCTTCGATCTCATATTTTCGGAGACATTTAGACTAGAATAATCACAAAAGGATTTGGATCCATGACTTCTGTATCTCGAGGCGTTGGATTTTTAAGCTCCTGGATAATACAGCGATTTTGATCGTGTATCATATCGCAATCAAAAACTGGATGCAAATGTCGGTGTCAGTCTTACTTTTGTCCCACAGCAATAATGAAACATGATAAAATCTTTGCAATGCGCACTTCTATTTATCTCTCATTTTCGGCTAATGTGTCTACTAACGTATCTTGATTCACAAAAACTTACTGCATCCAAAAATAACTTAAACGTCTGAAATCTTCAGAGTAATATGCAGACGATCAGATGAATTTACCGGAGAATTGTTAACTTGCAGTAAGTCTTCGTGTGCAATATGACATAATGATGCGTAAGGCTGGGCTGTCAGTTAAAAGATACATCACACCCTCAAGAGAGTTTCTATATCTTCTATGTGCAATGAAATCGTAAATACACACACACACACACAAGTAGGTAATTGATTGGCACCATTTATTGGGTTTTAAATAGAATAAGTCTTAATATTTCATGTGACTTTTATTAGCATTCAAAAATTAGTCAAGGTGTAACTGCAATCACACCACTGAGTGAAGCGAAAATGTAAAAAATTAGTTCATTTGATTAAAAGACATGAGAAACGCGCGTGTTTCACTCACAGAAAAGATTATAGTTTGAAAAAGAAGTATCTAAATGTAACATATGTATTGATTCGAGTACGAATAAATCGAGGGCTGCTTTTTACGATACTAAAGACTCACTTAACTATTAATATCGTTATGAAAATAATTTCTTTTACATCTCTATTGATGAAAGAGAGCAAAATAAGGATGGCGATTTATCTTATTCCCTGGCTCTTTTTCATTCAATAGTTCTATCGGTCGATGCCATCTCATTATCTTATTATTTTCAATGATAGCGAGTCAAGATTTGGTGTGTCATTAGTAATTAAAACAATTATTAACTCAATAGAAATCATGGAATGCTACAGTTCTATATATTAAAAGTAGGAATTACATATGAGCAATGATATTATTTTTATTAATGAATTTTAGATAAATATTCAATAAAATTCTCTTATGTAGTATCAACTAGGTATACGAGATGGAAATAGCACATCTAACTTTCATACAAACCGTTTTCGATTCTCACGATGAGATATTTGAACGCTGACTGTGATCCATTAAAAAAAGACGTTGCCTAATGGCATTTTTATGGGAAAGGTCAAATTTAAAATCAAAGGAATTTTTTCAAACAAAGTGGATCGAAGAGAAATCTTTTATTGATGATGATTCACTTTATAATATAGCATTGGCGCGTTAACCTTCTGTTTATGTTGAAGATGTTGAAACAACTTCGCCTGAAATGCGCAATCGAGATTTTGAAAGTCGTTTTTGTGGTCATCGAGCTGTTATGCATGGTCATATTATTCAAGATGGAATACTCTGGGGAACATTAGAACCTTGCGTATTTGATCATCCTGGCCAATGGACACAAAATGAACATATATTCATTGAAAATTTACTATCTTTATTGCCAAATCATGTTAAAGAATATGTCATGAAAGTGCAGATTGACGAATTAGAGCAACCATCGTAATCGAATTCCATCGCAATATTTTATTCTATTTCGAACTTTCCATTTGATATTCCAAGTTGTAAAACATTGTGACAACTGCCAACGTCACATTTTGCAAGGAATAACAAGAGAAAGAAAGAAATATTCAGTTTTGTTTAAAAAAAACATATTCTTTAATATTTTCTTTTTGAATCTAGAGAAGATACAAAGAGATCGTAAAATAAAGATCTGTTTTATAATGTGAAGATAAGAGAGTGTCATTGACAAATGGAGCCAAGAAAAATTCTACTATAATCGCTGTTGCTGCTAATATTTGAAAGAAATAACTTACTACTCGTCATTTGTTTAAATCTGATTCAATCTCGATCTCTATAGGTAGCTACTCTAATTTAATCGTGGTTTAAGACAAAGGCAATGGTGACTTTAAAGATTCTACTTATTCGTTTACCCATATGCGTATTGATGTTTGTTGTTGATGAATGGCTCGAAAGCGTAGAGATCGGTTATCAGTTACTGAAAAATGAACACAAACTTGGAATTCTAGTATTCAAACTCAAGAAAGCATGACCACGTTTCTTTTATAGATATATAGAGGCAAAACTGTTAATGAAATCAAAACAGCGTTCACGTTATGAAAATATTGCAATAACTGACTATAAAGTTTAAAAGTGCGATCTTTGTATTTTTACGCTTAAACAAAAATGCATCCAATGTCACTCGAGGAATCAATTGCCTGTAATCGATTGAATAAGAAACGAGTGATGAGACTATGAAGAATAAATCCAGAAAATGTCAATCAAACAGTCGAAAAATGAATTAAAAGAATCATTTAAATAGCAAAGTCCTTAAATAAAACAACAGCCACACTTACACTCGATATATACGTGGTTATATTCTAAGAATCGAATTCTGTTCTGCTTCCGATTGTTCAATGTGACTATGGTACTTATTTGTCTTAATGTACGTAGCTCACAACAGAAGCAGAATATGTGATAGTAGAGTTAGATTTATTTTGTTTAAACAAAAAGAAAACTTAACTAAAAACATTACAGATAGTTAAGGATACAATTAAGATGATTCAATGAATGGAATTGAACAGAGACGACATCGGCCAATACCATTCTTAAAAATATCAATACGACATTGAAAATAAGGAAGACCATCATTGAAAATCCATGTCTCTTCAATATCATCTGTCTTCAGCCAGTAGTCGATTTCGACAACATCGTCAATTGTTGTGATATTAAAAATAAATTTTTCCAGTCGTGGCATATGAATAAGTATTTCTTCACTAAGATGAACATCATCAATAAATTTTGGTCGATTTCCAACAAGAAGAAATAGCATGAGTGTTTCTAAATTCTCCATTCGTCGAAGCAATGGCACTATTGCATTATCATATTCTTCTGTAGGATTACGTGTAGCCAAGAAGAATGTTGTTAAATTAGGTAGAATATACTAGAAAATAAAAACGAAATCCATTAACTAACAGTTTCAGACGAAAGAACAAATTCACTACCTGACTATTAATGTTCAACAATGGAGTATCAATAGAATCAATAATAACGTTTAAAATTTTCGTTTGATTGAAACGTCCATCAAGCAGACGCAAACAATCATCTATTGTACGTACATTAACTTCTAATTTAATTATAGTCGATGACAAACACATGGTTAATGGTAAAGCATATTCTTCTGGTAACAACGAATAGGATCTAAGACGTTTTCCGTTGATTTTCAAATGAGCTAAACGCTGACAGACCGAAAAAAGACGTGTAACGTTTTCGTATTCAAGTGTATTTGTGATCGATTGTTGTAATATTCAATAGTAGAGATTTTAAGATCTGTAATTTGTTTAAAGATACGTAACACAGGTGAATTATCTAAATACAAAATCATTTACAAAGGTTGAATTTATTTCTCAAGAAAACTTCATACCTGATAAATACTTTATAAAATCTTTAGATTCGATTGAACTCAAAGTTAATCGATGAAGATTAGGATAAGCACACGCACGAAGAATCCGTTGCATTGATGACGGCTCAACAAAAAGAGATTTGATTTTGTCATGAATTTGAGGTAATATGTGTGAACATAATCGATCTAGCATAACATCCGATATGGAACATCGTTCATCATAGGATTGTTTCGTTGTTAAATCAAGAGAATGCGTAAATCTGGCATCACGTGCCAATCGACCGAGTCGTTGATTAACACCCCAAATTGAATTGAGTACATCGACAGTTGAAAGTTTATTGAAAATTTCAATAAGCATTTCATCAGGCAAATCAAGAAAATGAACAGTTGAAGAATTCATGATTGAATGTGATACGTTATTGTGTGTTCGGTATATTTATATTGAATGAGCAGCCGTGCCGTCCTGATTAAGTATGCTTTGTTTCTTTGTTGTTGTTGTTAGTGCTATGCATATCTTCCATTTTGTAATAGACGATCCATCAACAAGAAACGGTTTAAATGATGATAAAAAAAATCACATCCTATTTTACATTCGTCTATTGTCATAGAAAACTATCGAGAAGACTACAGGAATACTCAAAATGATTTATTAACTCTCTTCCATGATTATCCTTTTTTGCTTTATTAAATAGTATGATAAAAAATAGAACTTCGATGTTTAAATTGTTTCTTTGTTGAAAATCTCACCCTGATACACAGAATTCAATTATAAATTTCTTTTGGAATAGGTTTGATCGAAGTGGAAGATAGGATTTCTTGAGGGTGCGGGTGTCTCTGCTTCAACCACACCCTAAGCAAGAGTGTACTTTCCAATAATAAATGATACCACTATGTCTGGAGGCATGCACGGTGAGTGTTTTAGTTAATGTAGAATGCAATCCACTTTCAGTCTCGAAAAATATTGATGACTATTTTAAACTCAGATTTGAATCGATATGCATTTGAGATAGGAATCATCAACAATTGCATGAGATTTCTTTTTGTATCAAAGAGTCCGATTCTTCATATTTAACTAGTCTAAAGGATAGTTAATAAAGTGTGGAGATGGATGTGAATGCAAGTATAAAAAAAGACTCTGCGATCCCACACTCATCACCGACACACAGATCTGGTTTTGATCTATAAATACTACATAATGCTAAGATCTTAATTGTTTTTTTAGGTCTTTTTCAATCTTTCATAAATTATTTTTATTGAAACGTTTTCATTGAAATGAACGCTTTTTCGGTGCATTAACTTCGAGAAAATGATTGTCTAGAAGAAGTTTAGATTGCAATTGATACATTTACTGCATTGTCTCTATTCTAAAATGGCGTGTCTGGTCGTTCGTTCAAATATCTTTCTATTTCTGGATTTTCATTGATAGTATCAAACATTTCCTTGAAATATTCATTTAATTTGTTTTTGACCTGGGGTGCCTCCCTTATAACTCGATCCATGAACTGATAAACAAAAAGATCGGCCCATAATAAATGATCACCGACGAAATAAGTTGCATTTGTACTATAAACTTTCTTCAATTTCATCAACTTCTTAACATGAACAAATAGATCGTTGTCTAAGAATTTTTACAGTTCTTGTACTTTCCTTTCTCCATTCTTTTCGAATATAACTCGGTTGAGAAACATCTCATTCATATCAAATTGAGTGCAACAACACCCAGGAGGATCATCCTGCCGTCTGAAAGGTCATCGGAAACGGCTATAAAACGACATAAAACGGCATTAATTTTCACCCTATTTCGCCGTAATCCGTCAGCTCGTTTTACGGGCCGTTTTTTTTTGCTAGAAAACGGTCATCGCTTTTAACACTATTCTCTTCGTTTTCCGAGCTGACGGAAAGCGGCGCCGTTTTTTAACGTTTTACATCGTTTTTATGCCGTTTCAGGCCGTTTACGGGCCGTTTTATTTCACCTTAGCAGCGTCAATTTTAGCCGATTCAAGGTTGATTTTACCGGCCAAGCCTGATTCATGTGCTACATAGCGCGCAATCGCAAAAGATTGAGGTATTTGGGTTCCATCTTCCAATTCTAGTACGGGCACTTGACCAAGCAATTTCTTCGTCACTATTATTATTACCAATATCACCTAATGCTAATGATTTTAAATGATTTTCATTAGATATTGCTATTTCTTCAATTGAATTTTCTTTTTCAAATGTATCAACACTCATTGTTTCAATCAGTGAATTAGTATTATTTTCAACATTGTTATCTTTATCAGAAGTAAGATAACTTTCATCAATTTCATTAATCTGTATATTATTATATCCAGGATGCAACTGTTTTAAAATTAATAACGCATCTTTTACATGTGGATTTATTAATTGTTCTTCCCATATTGCTTTATATTTTAATCTTCGTTTTAATTGCAAGCGAACCATCATAGATTTATTGACTGGTCTAGGCAACGTTGTTACCGTATCCTGTACATCAGATGGTACACAATGAAGTGGCCCTTTAGTACTTTTTTTGTGATAATCTACTAGGAATTTTTCCAGATGTTAAATTTACGATTTTCATAAATGGTAAACGTAATGCAACTAAATGTTTTTCAAGATTATTTAATCTTTTTAATTCAGATGGAATTTCAGAAACTTCCAATTTACTCAACAATACTCGACTAGGCAATTGCTGTTCTGTAAACGATATATGATTAAAGTAAGATCGAATTTTTTTCTTTACTTCAAACGTCATACTTTCTTTTATATATTTTTCTTTAATGAATGGTATTACCTGATTACGAAAAAGTGCTAATCCACATGATATACAAACATAATCTGGCCCATTTTGAATAATTTTTCGAAATTCTTTTATATTCTGTATATATAAATTACCGTGTTTCAGTATACATTGATGACTTTGAATAGTAGCATCTTTTTTTAAAATACATCTACGTTGATTATAAAGTTGTCTTAAATTTCTGGTCATCAATGTATTATTTTTATGATACGAATTCTCAATGCACGTTGAATCGCTTTCAATCGTATCGAGTGATTAGTATAATATCGTTTCAAAACGTCAGTCTTCATACGTGCTTTATATTGATTTCGAAAATCTGAATTGGCATGATATTTATGTAACATATCAATCTTTGATCTTGTTTTTATTTTACTACGAACTGTTGTATTATTATGATATTTATTTAATGTTCGTCTGCTTGCTTGCGTATTATTTTGAACACGAAATTTAGCGTTATTATGATATTTCAATGACATATGTGTTTTTATCCGCTCCTTTTCTTTCATACGAAAATTATTATTATTATTATACTTATCTCGAAAGTATTTTATTGCATTTTGATTTTTTTCTTCTCGAAACTGAGAATTTTGAGAATATTTGTTATTTGACCAAATTCTCTGTCGCCTATGCTTTATAATCAATGATTTGGTATTCATACAAGTATTTGACGCTAGTTTTTGTTTTCGATTCTGCATTTGTCTCTTTCGTTCGTAATCAAGACGACACACTTTAGATACAATTTTTTTAGTAGTATTTTGGATGATGATTAGATCAACGCACTCTTCTTTCATTTTTAATAGATTCACAGATTTATATTGTATCTGTGTATTATTACAATAATTAAGAGAATATGAATGATTTAAATCTGATTCTACTGTACTAAATCTTCTTGATACACACATGGTAACTCCATTTTTATGTTTATAACGTGAAAATTTGTGAACAGCTTTTATTGTTAGAAGTAAAATTCGCCATAAATGAATGGCAGCATATGAACGAACTTGTTGTTTTCGTTTATAGGCTTCCTTTCGTGTTTTAACTTTTGACGAAGTTGTTTTTTTACGAAGAATATTCAATTTAATGAAATTTTACAAAATATTTTTAATTTTAGTAGTTTAAATTTCTCGTTGAGACTAAGCAAGTATATAAACTAAGTATTGCTTAAACTCCTTTGTGAGAAAAATGTATATCTCTTAACTTGGTGAGATAATCAAGAAAAAGAAGTTTCTTTCAAGCTAAATCTTCTGTACAACTTAGCGAAGATATAGTTGACACTAAGTAAGAAACTTTAGATAGTCCAAAACTTGATGACTTTCTTTTAATCAATCGTTCAAGTTTTTTTTATTGTTAAATAATTATTATACTGAATACGATCTAAAATAAACCAAAAAAAATATAAAATCAATAATTTAGTGTACTTATTTATATAACTTTTACAAATGTTCAAAAAAAAACATTTTATTCCATTAACTATACGAATTAGCCAACAAATTACAAAATGAACAAGTTAAGAAAAGGTTAAACACGTTTATATAACAAATATAAATGTAGAAGAAAATACAAAATAATTATTTTATTTAATTACATTTAACAGCTAAAATCATTTTCCTAAAACTAATGAGATAATAAGACATGAAATATGTTTATATAACAGCTACAAACGGTAAAAAAAATTGGATTTTTTTGTTTTTTGTTTTCGATTATATGAACTAATATATATATATATATATATATAGTAAAGCAAATTAGCATTAATAAGACTGTATCAAATGAACCATGTTTACATAAAAAAGAGAATTCCTAAACAGATTAAAAATCGTGTTTTATATATTAATAATTTTACAATGTAAAATAAGTGAGTAGAGGAATGAGATAATATTTAATGAAACAGGTTATTACAAGAAACAAAAATATTAAAAAAATAAATGAATTGTTTTATTTAAAAATTTTAGAATTAATGATATAATATCAGGTGAAAGTATTTTCTATAAAAAAAACAATGAAACGGACGATTCTAAAAATAAATAAAAAGTCTTTTATCTAAAAATAATTTTACAGTCTGAAATAAATGAGTAGAGGAATAGGATAATTGCAAACGAAACATATTTACATAGCAAGAACAAATAGTTCTAAAAAGAAAGATCAAGTGAATTCTCTTATTTAAAACATTTTTTGGTTGGAATAATTTAATATCAACTGGCATGCATGATAATATAAAAAGGGCATTAGTTATAATAATGAAGAATTCATCTTTTATAGTTTGAATTAGCTTTAAAGTCTCAAATAAATGATCATATGACTATAAATAATATGAAGGGAAACATATTTATACAAAAAAGGACAAATATTCGAAGAATAGAATCAAGCGAATTGGTTTATGTAAAAAATGGGAATTCTTAAAATAGAAAAAAAAAGAATTATTCATATATAAGTAGATTTACAGTCTAAGATAAATGACTAAACTAATGCGATTCTATAAAGCGAAACATATGTATACAAAATAAAGAAGTTTAAATAAAAAAATCCAATGGATTATGGATTTAAAAAGTTTTAGAATTAACAATTAAAGATTAAAGTGAAACATGTTTATATAATAAGTGCACATATTTGGAAAAAAAATAAAATTATAATGAAATCCGTTATATGATTGATTATAAAATGTAGAATATAATTTAGTGAAGAAGACGAATTATCTTATTTTCATGCAGTGACGCAGCCGGGGGAGGGGGGGGGGGGGGGGGGGGGGGGGGGGGGGGGGGGGGGGGGGGGGGGGGGGGGGGGGGGGGGGNCCCCCCCGGGGCCCCCCCCCCCCCCCCCCGGAAAAAGTTGTCGTATAAATTTTTTCAGCTCATTTTAACATAAGAGAAATATTCTTGATATATTTTGTGTTTGGGCTAACATGTATGTTTATCAATTAGCGTAAATTGTTTGTTTATAATGCTCGATGCTTGTAATGATTATTGTTAATTAAATAAATTATGTACATAATTATAAATACTTTCTAATGTATTCTGATTCATATTTTATAAGCAGAACACTTTTTGATTCATTCATTGCAAAAAAAATGAATAAGAAGTATCAGGATATAAGTATGTACTTTGTATCAAATAAGAGACAAAGAAACGATGTTGATGAAAATAATTCAGACGCATCAACGACAACAACTCATTTTTACGGTACAAACAATAATAACGGCTACGAAATCATTGATAATGATGTAATATCAGTCACTATTCCACCTTTATCTGTTAGTCAACATCATGACACTACTATTAGTATATCGGCTTATACAGATGTTATTGGTTTATATGTTTCAAATAATGCAGCTAAAAATAATTTTTCATTATTAAATCGATTATTAACGAAACCGTGGATTTCACCATCAAATTATAATTATCCAAAAATCGAACAAAGTGGGAAAAGAAGATCAGTATGTCATCATTCATGGCTTGTTAGATATTCTTGGCTTAGTTACTCAAAAATGCATCAAGGTATTTATTGTCGATATTGTGTTTTGTTTTCAAGAAAAGGTGAAAATCAATCTCTTGGTCAACTTATTAATAAACCATTAAGATCACTGAAAGATGCGACGGAATACTTATCCAATCATAATGAATGTAATTATCATAAGTTATCTGTCAGTCAAGCAACAGAATGCGTTTCGCGATATGCGCATACGAATTCAGATGTGAATATACTATTAAATAATATTAATGAACAACAACAAAATGAAAACAGAAGAATACTGGCAAGTATAATTAAATGTACTTTATTCTTGTCAAGACAAAATATTGCATTTAGGGGTAATGATGAAAATGGGATTTTAGATGATAATAACACCAATCCTGGTAATTTTAAATCATTAGTGTTATTTGCAGCTGACGCTGGTGACCAAGCACTACAAAAATATTTAAATCATCATCAAAAAAATGCTACATATTTAAGTTGGCAAACACAAAATGAATTAGTTAAAATTTGTGCAATGTTAATCAAGAATAAATTATTAAATGAAGTAATTAGTACAGAGAAATTTTATGCTATTATTGCTGATGAAACAGCAGATATATCCGGTACAGAGAAATTATCAATTTCAATACGTTTTGTATCCGACGAAAATGATATTTCAATAAAAGAAGTCTTTCTTGGCTTTGTAGCTTTATCTGATACAACTGCTGCTGATATTGCAAAAGCAATCACAACATTTATTCAAGCGTCTGGTCTTAAAATAGAAAAAAATCGTGGTATATTTTTCAAATTATTAATGAAAGTATACTCATTTTACATATTTTCAGGCCAAGGCTACGACGGTGCAAATGTTGTTGCTGGTAGATTAGGTGGAGTGCAAAAATTGATAAGAGATATTGTACCACGTGCAAATTATGTTCATTGTTCAAAACATTCACTTAACTTAGTTCTTGCTGTCGCTTGTAAACTTCAACAAATTAAAATTTTTTTTGGCTTGATTAAATCTATTATAAGTTTTATAAATGGATCATCAAAAAGAAAATCAATGCTTGCTAAAGCTATTGAATCTACCAATAATGAAACAAAACGTCGACATCTTGTGAAATTATGTGAAACACGTTGGGTTGATAAACACACATCAATCATCGTATTTAAACAAGTCTTTTTTGGTTTTATTATTGGTTTAGATTATTTAGTTGAAAGTAGTGATTCTGAAACAAGTGGTCTTGCACGAAGTTACGGAAAAGCTTTAACTGATATTGATTTTGTTATTCCTCTTATTGTTGCGAATCGTGTATTTTGTATAACTAAACCATATGCTGAACAACTTCAAAAGCCAACATGCGATCTTCTGAAATGCTATCAAAGTATGGAACACGCTTCAACTTATTTAGCTGAATTAATTTATGATGATAATCAAGTAAATGAACTTTATAATGAATTTACTAAATTTATTGAACTTAATGAAATTGATAATTGTTTATCACGAGCAGCAAGTCGACGTTACGAATCTGTCAAAGATTATTTTATAGACGTAAGAAACTTGTGTATAATATGTTTGCAAGACTTTCTATTAATATATTTTTGATTTATAGGTATACAGAACATTCATTACTACAACAATTCACTGGATGACGCAAATGAATTACAAAGTAATTGAAATAAAATCAATTCCCTAGTAATTCTCTCTTGAACAATAACCAGAATAGGTCTACCAGGGTCTACTAGGGTCTACAACTATTTTTCTATATTTTTTTCATTATTTTAAATTTACCAGGGCCTACTAGGGTCTACAATTATTTTTCTATATTTTTTTCATTATCTTAAATTTACCAGGGTCTGCCAGGGTCTACCAGGGTCTGCCAGGGTCTACCAGGGTCTACCAGGATCTGCCAGGGTCTATGAGGGTCAACCGGTTCAACCGAACGTTGCACAGGCCAGATTGCATCCATCTCAGGCCTAAATGTGGTTCTATCGCCCAGAAAGTTTATTAAGGTCTGTAAAGTGATGTGACTATCCACGGATGACCAAATGATGCAGCAGTGTCACATACCTAGATATCGCGCAAACTGCAGAAGTACAAAGACAAGCTAGAAATTCCAAAAGAAGTCAATATACCTCAGAAAATTTCAATACTACCTCCCTCTCCAAAAGAGACGAGACATCTAGCAGAGAGACACGGCATCTCGACACACTTCTTTCAGAGAAATGCCTGATCTTTGAATATATCGAAGAAACGTTTTAAAAGAGAAACCGCATGTGGTTAACATGGGAAAGGCATCAACCCTGGTCATCTCTGTCAGTTTCTTCTGTTACAATAGTTCCGCGTGACACAGCTGTTAACAAACAGCCTGAAATTAACAGTCTACCCATGTGAAAATCTATGGCATGAAAACGCGTTTTCAAACGCATTTAGGATGCGTTTGAAATACTGTGAGAAAACGCATCCAAATGCATCTAAAATGAAACATC